TTCCAATGTATACGTCCGACTGCGGGTTGACGGAGCGTGGGAGGTCCGGGCGGAGTTCGACTCGCTGCTTCCAGTACACTACGTTGGGCTGCGAGAAGTGGGTGAAGGTGTACATGTTCGGGTGGATGCGCAAACGTCGGAGTCGGCGTCTGAGTTCCGTGAGTGCATGCGTGGGACGACCGTAGTGATGAACCATCAGCAGCGTGGACATTGACTCGGCCCACATAGATAGTTGCTTGTTGACCATCGGCATGTTGAGGATTTGGCGACTCGTGACTATGATCAGATAGAGGACCTGATAATACTGGTAGGATGCATGCACATCGAGCGAGTCATCGAGTCTGATTGCAATAAGCGCAGTGATGTAGGGAAGGAAATAATCGGTGCCATGCTGCAGGCTCACTGGCCAAGATGGCTCAGGAATACCATAGTGTCTGGCTGCACTGTAAAGTTCTGACCGTTCATACTTGCCGTAGAGCTGCCAAAGAAGCGCCGTCTCTGGAGATTGAATGACCGGCATGGCTTAGCCATGCATCCAACGCTCGAGCACTGAACGGTTAATTGGGTCAACTGGAAACAGCGGAAAAACCCCGACCCGCGACCCCAAGAAAAACAGGGAAACGAAAAAGAAGGAGAAAAGGCAGCTGATGGTCTCAGGGCAAGGTTCAAACGCGATGAGCAGCGGGCCTTTTGTGCCAGTCGTGTCAAAGGTGCTAACTTCCTTCCTCGTGAGCGCTACCGCCGCTCCCCTCACTTGCCATACATGTACAGAACCGTGATGAACTGCAGGAGTGCTCGCTTCGATCCCTTGCTCACTAAGGAGATTGGGGCCCCCCACTTGACTGCAATGGTTTTCAACTGCTCCACTGTGTCGGATGCCAGCTCCTGCTTGATGAGATCAAGGTAGGTCGCTTGGTTGGACAGCGTGCGTTCGTGTAGCCATGCCTTGAAGACCTTGTCCGTGAGGCTGGTGGGAAGTGGTACCTGTTGACCTTTGGGATTTCCCTGACGTAGAAGTTCTGAGTTTAGTGTGATGTCGGGGCAGTCTCCGGGGTCTTCCGCTTTGCCGGTCGTCGCTTGGGGGCTGGATCAGCCTCTGGGGATGGAACTGGTAGGGGAGGTCCCTGAGCATCTGAGTTGGCCGCATTGATGTAGAGGGACTGGTCAGAGCGGCCGGGCGTGGGGGTCCAGGACGCGGCATTGGAAGGGGACGAGGATGGCAGCTTCTTATCCGGTGTAAGAGTGATGCCCTTGTTCTTGTAGCGCTCCAGCTGTTGTTCCAATTCGGCAATTTTGTGGCGAGTGAGGTTCTCCTGCTTGGCGGGCTGCAGCGACTCCATGAGATCCACGATTTTGAGCGCAAGTGGCTCCATAAACTGCATAGCCTCGTTGCGCTTATCCGGCGCATTGTCCGCGTGGAGAGAGCGACCTGTCCTGTCGATGTCGACCTCCCTGCCTCTCAATGCTTTGAGAATAGATGTCAATAAGACTGCCTCGGCTATCGACTGAGCCATGACTGGTGTGCTGTATCGCCCGTTTGACAGCGCTCGTAATGCGTGATCTTCTGCTCCTCCTCGAAGAAGTCGTGTCAATGGAAGATCCAGGATAGCTGTTCCTGCGAGCCCGACCCTTCTGGACCACTGAGTGGGTTGAACGTGACGGTACAGCTGCAGGCCGCGGACTTCCGTCTTGTCGAGGAAGATGTCGTCAGATTGGAAGGTGCTGGGGAGTAGCTGCGAGTATCGAGGTTGAGTGTACTGCGTTGCATCACCTTGGCCTAGAGGTGCCCGAACTGGAGGTTGAACTGGCGGTGCTGGTGGTGGGGGACGAGGACCTGTCTGCATGTGGTTTGTTCCACCACCGTGATAGTTGTAAAACTGACCGGGAGGTTGAGGAGGAAACTGGTGAGCCATATGTGGAGGCCGAAGAGGATTGATGCGAGGCGCTGCTTCCTCTCGAGGTTGATGCTGCAAGGATTCCATCCGATTGGAGCTCAAATAGACCTCCTGCTGGGACTGCGGAACTGACCATGATGGAAGGTACGAGGATCCCGGATGCGAAGAGGAGGAGGGCGCTGATGTCGCCGGCCATGAATAGTTCCACTGAGAAGCCATCACGAGATGGGAGTTCGCCGTCAACACTTGCTAATAGATTAAAAGCTAGGGATACGGCACAAATTGCCGAGACGGCACAAATTGTCAAAACGGCACCCGATTTTCAACCGGACTCAGGGCTTTTTGAAACCGGGAAACAGCAGAAGTCACAACGAAACATCAAAAAGCGAAAGAACCCGCAGTAAGACCAACACGGAAGTCATGCTTGAATGAGGCTCTGGCGTGCACTTTTTGTCGCAAAATATCGTCGGTGGTCGAAGACGGCAGTGTGGCGAAGGATGCTCTTATTCGCAATGAAACATCATTAATTGTCATTGGTTACCGCAGCTCCTGGTGCAGGTTCACGAGCGGAGGACACCGGTGGGCTTCGTATCGGTAGGCCATGCGAGTCCAACGATCTGGCTTGCCTCCGGGATCACCATCCAACACTTGCCCGACACATAGTGGATGACATCAGGACGTTCACTGGAGTCCAGGGCCTCAATGCAAGCTTGCTCTCCTCCCGATCGAATCGGCTGACAGGTACCGACGGCGCGTCCAAACAACAGCAATTGGGCCATGTTGAGAGACATACTCCAGTTCTGGCTCATCGTGCGAGCAATTTCTTCAGCATCATAGTCGGCGTGTCCAGTGATCTTCCAGCCTTGGGCGTAAAAGGCTGGGCACTCCGAGGAGCGCTGCCGGGAAGGATGGATCTGTCGGCTCCGCAGGATGCCTCTAGTGCCGCCGACACTGGATGCGTGAGTCCAGAGCAGCATGGGTCGCGTCTTCGTTGGTTCTTTGAGCCGAACTGTAGCGCCAAGGTAGGGGACGGTCAGCATGAACCAGTGCGGAGTGATCTTATAAAAGTGATGTTCCGGGTTGACCTTTGCATAGTTCAGAGTGGAGTGCTGAGGCGGTATGCCGGCTGCATTCAAGGTAGCGGCCACATAGTCCATCTGCTCCTGATTGACTGGGATCCCTTCGCGGAGGTACGGTGCGGCAGGCACCTGAAGTTCGTTCCTCCACGGGTCAGACTCCGGGTTGGGAAGCAGGATCAGCGGTGGGTGCGCCTGCGGATTTGGGCGTAGTTGCATGCTCCTCGAGGACGACCCCACATCTGGGTGAGCACCTGTGGCCTTTGAGGCTGGAGCCGATGGGGCACTGCTTCTGCTACGCGGAAATGGAGATCGATTGCTTCTCGGTCGTCGGGATGAGGCTTTAGTTGCCGTAGGCGCCCGGGATGAGGACTTGGCTGCTGTGGGTGCCGACACGGCAAGATCCGATGCTGCCGTGATGGAGTTGTCCGATGTTGTGTCCCTTCGGGAGATCGGTGGTGGCGTCCTGGAGCGAGCTCGACCTCGCCGCTGTGGGGGCACTGACTTGGAGTAGGGGGAAGTGCTGTGGGAACGTGACCGCTCTCCCTCCGTTGTGTGGCGTGACCTGGATGGTGGGTTGGGCGGTGGAAGCATCTGACCTGATGGAGTTGCCGTAGGGATCGGTGCGATAGGGGTCGGTGCTGTGGTCATAGGTGGGCATGCTGTAGTTGAAGCCGTTGGGGTAGTTGGCGTCGTTGGAGTCATTGGAGTCATCGGTGTGGCCGGGCGTGCTTTCACCAGGATTTGCGGCAGGGGGCCAGCTACTGATGCAGGCCAGACATGCAGGGTAGGGATCGATGCCGAGGCGTCGCCGGGAGCAAGAGCTGGAACCGCAGGTTTGGTAGCCCTTGAGGTGCTGGACACCGCGCAAGAGATGCTAGAAGTTGGTGTCACAAGCGCACTCCTGCTCGGTGATGCTGTCTGGTGCACTGGTGACCTGGGCGGCGTAGGGCCCGCAGTGTTCCTGGATGCCTTGGTCATGGGGCCTGCTGAGTTCGACATCGGGCCTGCGTTGGGCCGTGGCATCTGCTGCCAGCAATTGCGAGCCAATAACCAACTGGCGGTGTCATGGAGTCATGCCCGATATGTCGGGTAGTCTGGCGACCCGTCAAGTGGAGAAGTCAAACGTGAGGTAATCTGGGGTGCTGAAACGTCTGGGACATGTCCAAGCCCGTGGTGAATGGTCAACGGCGAAAAGTCAACAGGGGGATTTCCAGAGTCGCGAGCGACAAGGTCCGGTGGCTGTCTGAAGAAGGTGTCGGTACATGGGTCAAAACAGGTGCCCGCAAAGGGGATCAAGACACTGACCGAAGCCCGGACGCAGTGCCTAAACACACTTGATATGAGACGGCAACAATGCAAGAGTGCATCCCCAAGTATCTGAAAAGTGGAGTTTCGTCAGCTCCCGATCTGTTCGCTCGCCGCGGCTACTCGTCAGTGCCCATGACTACCGCGACGAGGTACTAAGAAAGGGGCCGGTTTGCTGGCATGGGCATACTCCAATAAAGAGAGAGAGGCACGACCGCAAAACCCCTTAGGAACAGGGGGGCCACACACACACACACACACACACACACACACACACACACACACACACACACACACACACACACACACACACACACACACACACACACACACACACACACACACACACACACACACACACACACACACGCACACACGCACACACGCACACACACACACACACACGCACGCACGCACGCACGCACGCACGCACCCGCACCCGCACCCGCACCCGCACCCGCACCCGCACCCGCACCCGCGCACGCGCACGCGCACGCGCACGCGCACGCGCACGCGCACGCACCCACCCACCCACACACAGGCAAGCACACGCGGAAGCACACGCAGACTCACCAGCACTCACACACACACACAGAGAGACACAAAGACACACACCCGTGCGCACAAGCAGGCTCCTGCTCGCACGCACACACTCACGCCTACACGTCACGCAGACACCCAATGAGAAGGACTCGCTTGCGTCTTGTTCTTAGGTCAGCGCAGCCAGCTCAGCATCGCCAGCTGCCCTTTTGGCTGCCAGCTTGTTTATGGGCCCACCATGCCCGTCCTGTCAAGGCAACCAACAGACTATCTGGTCTGCAAACTACGTTTGGACATGTCTTGGGCAAGAATCTTGAGAACAGCTGTCCTTCATCAACCACCCCACTCCCAGCCGCGTTGGCCTGCAGAGATTACATCATCATAGTCCGTGCGTCCATGCTCCTTGTCTGCCAGCTTGCCGTGCGAAAGGCTGGGCGCCCCGCTTGCTCCCAGCTGGTTCACTTCGGTGATCGAGCTTGCCTCGATTCGCCTGCAAACTTGCAAACGTAGCCAGGATCCACGCATGCCAAACCATCGACAAGATCATTGCCTGGATCCAGCCAATCTCTTGCTGACACGTCTCTGGAAACCTGCCCAAATTCAGAATTACCCACACAAGTAACGCACTGGCTTGTCAGCAGCTGCATCAACTAGGAGCCATGCAGATGCCGTTCTCGTGGAACGGCCTGGGCGCTTGCCCAACTAATGCTGCACACAGCTGGCAGTGGCCATTCTACTTGGGAGCGCCGCTGGAACGTGCAACCTGCTTTGCTTCTTTCAGGCTCAGCTTAGGCCAGCTTGCATGTTGCTGCCTTACTTGATGTGTTGTCTGTCCTCGCAACGCCCTGAGCAGTCCGCATTTGGCCGATTCATGCAGCGGCGGAGCTCCACCGTCATGGCATCTGCTGGGTCCCAACCTTCCACACTCCACTCGCGCAAAAACAAATACACCAGCATAGACCCCAGATAGCGAAAAACCAGGCCAATGTCACTTTCCCCTCTTTATTAGAAGTTAGAACCTCTATAGCTTTCAGCTATCTGGGAACAAGCAAAACGAGGTCTGCTTCCTGAGGACTGCACCCACTGAGCTGGGATTGAAGGCAGTACCTGAGATCACCAGCAGCTAACGACACCAAAAAGTCTTCTCCCCGCCTGAGGCATCACGCGGGTCCATGTGTCCGGGCCTGGATCGCAAGTCTGGGCCGGACTTTCCGGAAAGCGCCCAGGATCCGGACTTGAACTTGACTGGCACCACTGACACCTAGGGAAAGAAGCGCCTGCATGTGATTGGGTAAAGGCAAGCCAGCTGCGCAGCAAAAAAGAGCATGCAGAGCTACCATGCTGGGGCCGTTTCTTAAAAGCTCACGAGTATCCTGCAGCGGGTGCAACCATGCCACTCAAAAACCAACCCTCCAGGTCCATAACGCACGAGTTTGGTCAATGTCAACCTGGAGCTTTTGCAAGTTCAGCCGGGCTACGGTGTGGCTTGCTAGGCTTTGCGTTGGCAAGGCCGGTTTGCGAATCAAGACTTCCAGGGTATGACATGCAAATCTGCTCAAGAGGAGGGCTTCCTTTTAAAGCTTGAGGATAAAGACGAATAGCAAGCCGTCTCATGCTTTGCCTGTGACAAAACAGTTTGGAAGCCGCGGGATGCCTAAGAATGTGTGTGTGTGTGTGGTGACTTGTGGCCGCACGGACGCTTGGTCTCATGACTAACATGGCACACACTCATTCTCAGGGCCGCACGCCCACTGCAGCGCGGACTGAAAATCCATCAGGTCGCGATCTGGCATTGATCTCCTCCTTCTGAATCCTTCCGGCTCTGGCAACGCGTCACACGCCCACAAGCACACGCACACAGATTCCCGTGCGCGCTGACATGAGGCTAGCCAAGTGGAGGGACAGGCTCGAGACCAAGCTAGTGCAAAAAGAAGCAGGCAGCGCGTGTTTGCGCGCATGCCTTGCGAGCCATGGCACCAAGACCGCAGCTGGCAAGCCCGTTACGTTCACGTCGCGTGTTGGATGTGAAATTGGATCAAGCAATGGGTTCGCCTAGAGAACATTGCCCTAGAGCACACCAGTAGCTTAGAGCAGCAGTCAGAATTACATCATGGTTGCTCGTGCAACCGCCGTGCGGAAAAGCATCGATGTTGCAACCCAAAGCCACACCGTCTTCACAGCTGACGCTCAGCCTCGTGTAGTACCCAGTTTCTAGAAAGACATGTGCAGTAAATTAAAAATGCCATGGTCCCAAAAAAAGCAACTCCCTGGCCCATGACCGTGCCAGGTGGCACTGCACATGCAAACAGGGCCCCAAACATCCCATCTGCGCAGCTCGCACGTCCTCTGCGTCCATAGGATGTGATCCGCAGCTGTAAGGCCGGGACCCGACATGACCCTCCGCCCAGCTGCGAGCCCAAGCGAAGGCGCGCGCGCCGCTGCGAGGCCAGAGCAGGAACAGCAAGCATGTCGCCTATGTCGAGTAACAATCAGCATATTGCCACCCAAACGGACAGTTAGCACAAGACTCAGCAAAACCCAAATTTGTCAAATGGCTATGTGCCTGTGCCCGTCCAGGTCCCAAGTGCCAGCTGATTGTTACTCGCTATGCATACTTTTTCTGTGGGTAGACTTGTTCTGTGGGTGTCACTCGTTAGCTCACAACTGCCCACTGCTAGCCATCGTTGGGCTGCAGTATCTGCGGCAGCGGCGGTTAATGGGCCTGTCAGAGCAGCTGAACAAAATGCCACAAGCAACCTTGCATGGCATATGCCTGCTGGCCCCTGATCAAATGATGAGACGCTCCTTAGGCAAAACATGGCAGAACTGTTGGATCAAGCAACCCACCCCCTGCCACCCTGCAGATCTTTTGAATTTTGTGCATATTTCTGCGGCCGGAGAACTCGCATCGGCATCGGGGCCATCACACTGGCTTGGGCATGACTTAGCAGCGCCAGAATCTATGTCTTCAACATTGCCAGGCATCCAGGGGGTCCCAACAACGCCCATGTCAAAACATGCAAAGTAAGCCAAGGACTTGCTCTGCTTCATGCATCATCTCGTATGCGTTCGGCTGGCCTAAGGGCACTTGGCGCAAAGGAATGCCCCGCTTAAAGAGTCATTGTACGTAGTACCTGGGCAACAACCATTGTTATAACCCACTTGCCATGGTTGTAAGTCTCTTAAGCATTTTTAACCAGGCTCACTAACCACTTACTAAGTACCCTGCCCCTTTAAGCACTTTTCCTGGCCAGAAGAAACTAAGCCACCCACCGAATCTTGAAATCCATGGGAGGCCAAAGTCGGCACACATGCCTTGACCGTCCTGAGCAACTACACGTTCACAGGAGCCAAACGCCATCCGTGCCAAAACGACAGCGTCCTCCGCGTCATCCTGTCCGGCCCTTGCAATGCTCGCGTCAGTAACGTGCCACAAGAATGCGTGCACTTGGGGGGGTGGCCTCTCGAAAATGGTGGACCGCTTCTGGTAGGTACTTGGGACCGCCATTTTGAGAAGCACTCCGAGGAGGCGGCCAGGTACTTGGACCAGCACCTCACCGCTCAAAACAACAAGCGCCCGGAACATGGCACGTCCGGGTGCTGGGATGAGGGCTGCTTAAGCCTTTCTCAAGCACATCCTCCAGCACCTCATCAAAAGCGCAAGCCCCTCAGCGGAATGCCAGAACTTGCTTCCGCCTCTGCGTCCAGTGGAGCGACGCTCTGGGTGGCCTCCTACGGCTGAACGGCCCAATGGGGGAATGAGACAAGAAAAAACAAGAAAACGCAGCGTCCTTGAAGAAGAAGCTGGATAAGGTACTAAAGCTAAACTCCGTGTCACCTTTCCGTGGCAATTCGCAAGCAATCGCCTCATGAAGCTGAAAGCTTCACACATGGCCTTTGGCACGGGTGTTGGCAAGCACGGCGCTCCTGAGACCCAGGGCCATTTCGCCCCATGTTTGGCCAGCGCTATTTCACCAAGAGTCTGCTTCACATTCAGCCCCCTCCCGAGGTTCCGAAGCCTGCGTACAATGCGATGCGGCTGGGAAAATCGGAGACGGCGACTCGCGCACTGGGCCGCCGGGCTGCTCCCAGATCATGACAGACTGAGTTTCGACAGCGGATGAGAAAACGGAGCGCCAAAGCGCGTGGATCTGGGTATGCCATGAAGCTGCGCAATATTGTGCGATAAAAAATGGTGCTCTTTGACAGCCAAACTTCTCTCCCTGATTGGGCCTCTTTGGCCACTGAGGCCAGCACCAGCCCGCCTGCGGGCGGTGCGGTCAGCAGCACCTATCACTTTTGGAGGACGCCGCGACTCACGCGCTGTGTTCCAGGCTGCCGGCCACTACTAAAGGGATGAAGGGAAGGACTCCAAACCTAATGTCCCACACGTCCCATGCGACCAATCAGCAATTGACCGTGAGGCCGCAGCACGGCTGCTAAGAGCACTAGGGACACGCCGACTATGACCAGCAGCAGTTGCAGGATAACCTCCCAGGCTCGTGCGTCTGCATATTTGTTTTCTTATCCAAGCGCTGCCTTTACCCCAAAAGGTCGGAGAAATGTGTGCGTAAGCCGGTAAGCCCTACTAAGCGGCCGCTTCCACACAGCATGTTTGCGAGAGAATCGCAGCTCACATTTCTTGGCCTGGGCTCTGTCCAAGCGCCGGCTTGGCTGCATCCGTCGCTGGCCCGTCACCTCTAGCTCACAAGGGAAAACTCCATGAAGCATACCCACTTAAAAGGGCCAGAGTTCTTCAAAAGTGGGTAAGAACCATGGGTATAACGGTATAACCCACTTTGGAGACTTGCAACCGTGCCAAGTGAGCTATAGTTATTGCAATTACCCACTCACGAAGTACCCGACTGCCCCTTCAAGCAGTGTGCCCGGCGCCTTGTTGCTGGTTGACCACACGTTTTTGCGGCACCATCGCACCAGGCTCAAGGACCTCGACAAATCATGGCTGAGACTTCGGCGCGACGCCGTAGGCGCCGGGCAGAATTCCGAGCAGCAGCAGCACAGCTACAGCCACCAGGCCACCGAGAACCCGGTCCTGGCGCTGGTCGAATTATGTAAGTCTGTGGTTATTCTGAGGGCACCGCACTGGCTGTGCCCAGGGACAGCTCATGATGCAAAACGTAGCCAGATAGTGTAAGAACCTGACCCCCACGAACGTCATGCCACTGACATCGTGCCACATGCGCAATGAAAAGCACGAGCCGGCCATGTCAAGAGCAGCGACCACGACGAAAAGCCACGCCAAACCTGAAGACCAGGACAAGTACCAGTTCATTCACACAATGAGCGCAGGCTGCATAGATCTTTGCCCTTCTTAGTCAGCTGCAGGCGGTCGTGACCAGGAAGATGATGAATGGCCGATGGTTGCGTGCCTCAAGCAGAAGGTTTTCCAAAAGCATCTGGACGCAAAGCGAGCCCCAAACACCGACGCAGTTCCTTAGCTAGTGCGCAACAAGCAGACACTCCACCACAATCAACACGCAGCGAAACCAACACAAGCACACAGAGAAACAAACACAGGCACACAGAAAGTGACCCAGAGACGCACAAAGACACACAAAAAACCTCCCCACACACACACACACACACACACACACCAGCACACATTGGCACACCAACCGCCAAGTTCGATAGAGCAATGCCAGCAGGGCAGCATGCAAGCTGCGTCCACCACCCAAACAGCAGCAGCAGCAGCAGCAGCAGCAGCAGCAGCAGCAGCAGCAGCAGCAGCAGCAGCAGCAGCAGCAGCAGCAGCAGCAGCAGCAGCAAAGCAGTGGCAAAAGCAGATGCTTCCCGCCGTCTGCCACTGCCGCCGCCAGCTCCGATTGGGACTAAAAGGCCGGTATGTGTTTTACAGCAGCGAGCAAGAGTCAACTGATGCAACTAGCGATGCAACACAACTTTGTAACGTGAAAAAGGCGCTGGCGCACGGAATGCAGCAAAAATACCAGTAACATCAATATCCGGAATCAGAACTACCACAGGTTTGAAATAGACGGACTCACCAAACGAGCGGGTGTTGGCAACCCTGGCAGTACAGTCAGAACACACCAGCAAACAAACATGCCAATGTCTGCACATAAGGGCGACGCCCGATCCAGTAGCAATGGTGATCGAAGTCGCGCCTCGACTGCGAGGCTTTGAGGCCGAAGCTTTCCAAGGCCCGGGGCTCCAGCACACAGTTGTCGCAGAGGCTGCAGTGCGAACAGCGTGGAGGCCGGCGAATCTCAGCACGGTGCTGGGCCGGGAGGCCCCGGATTTTATGTCCCACGGTGTTGCCCGCCTTGCAGGTGCTGCCTTGGCGCGACATCCATACGGCACGTCTTATTCGATTTGTCGATTTGACGAAGCCATGGCAGGTTCAAACAGCTTTAGACAGCTCAACTTCCATGAGAGCCCGGCAAAGCTTCAAGTGCCGAAGCCGAGGATCGTCCATCACCTTGAGCCAGAAGTCCTCAGCCTGCAAGCCCAGCCCCCCAGCCAGCAGCCCTCCACATCTGCATTCGCGCAAGCGCCTCCTGTAGCTCGCCTTCTCCTGGCTCATCCTCCTCCTGACACAGTTCGCGCATGCCCTCCCTGGGCTGAGCGCTCAAATGAATCATATTCAAAACCCGGTATTGCAATGGTCGACCCAGAACCATGTAAAGAAAATTGAAGGCGGCCGCAGCTATTTATGGTTAAGATTGTCCCTTACTAACCTTCACTTACCCGGGTTTGATTGTGACTCAAGTTGTGATCTCGGCGAGTTCTTCGGAGCACGACATGGGACCAACGGGCGGCTTGCCCTGCCTCGTAGCAGGGCATTTGCGCGAGCCGGATTTGCCTCCAGGATTCAGACGAATGCCGTCACACGGAGAGTTGGCGTGTGACAACAACACCGACTGCGAAACCAGCACCATGCAAACTGAAAAGCAACAAGCCATGTGCACCCCAACTATTTTTGAACTTCCCGCCAAATGTGAAAAAATATATTTTGCACCACCCCCAGTCTGTGAAGCGCACCACTCTTCTCGAAACTCCTCTTGAGCCTTGTGCGGGCACGGCTTCGGATCACTTCAAGAGACTCTTCCCGGCTTCGCCCGGTCCAGCGAGCCTCTTGCCGCTCTTGCGCCTTCATCTGTGGGTCCTGCGGCCGTTGCCGGGGCGGCCTCAGCTCACAACTCGCTTTGGAGCGTCGCCGCTCACCCGGCTTTGGAGGCCATGGCGGTCTGCAGGACGAGGCGTACAAAGAACAAAGCTCGTGCCTCGGACGCGCTTTACTACACGCGACTTGCGGCTGGCTGGCGAGGTGAGGAGGCCACATGCTGGCTCGGCCGTCTCTGGAAACCGACAGCGCCGGAAGAACAGAAGCTCTGGGGAGCACTCCCGGCTCTGTTGCAACAGCCTAGTAGGCAGTTGCGAAGCAAACATCTCGAACCACCGGCGAGCGTTGCCTGCAAGAAGCTTGCCAGCGTCGCAAGCAGCAGCGGCAAGGCCAGCACCAGCACACCTTGCCGAACTGAGTCGGACAGCCTGGGCAACAACGCAGGCTTCGTCTGAGATGCCCCGCGACTCGACGTCCCATCTGGCTCAAGGTTGGGTAACCAGGCCTCACGAGCTCACCCAAGAAGAAGACCTGGCCCAGGTCTTAGCCACAGTTGCCCCTTTTTGTGGTTTGCACGGGGGAACCAGAGGAAAACCACCATTTGTTTTGAGGGGGGAAGGGGTCCCACAAAAATACACACACCTAGGTACAAGCCAATGCCCCGGAGCTGCCCTGGATTGGTGGCTGTCACATTTCCGGCGCGCTCAAGCATGCCGGGAAGCACGCCAACCTGAGCCGGAGTTAAGCAAACAGAGCAAATTAGCTCGCCAGGCACGGCTGAACAATGATCAAGGCACTTTCCGACACGTTCTTATCCTTCTCTCTAGGGCAGCTGCAATTCCGAGAATCATAGGCAAGGTTGACAAGCAAGGGCATAGCCTGCTTGGCCTTAGCAAAGCCATGACTGGTGTAGATTAATAAAATATACTGCATATATATATATATATATACATACATGTTTGCGTGTGTGTGTGTGTGTTATATGTGTATACTTGTGTAGTATATATATTTATATATACATCGTCTCTCTGCCTCTTCCAAGACTGCATCAAGCATTGCTGTCCGCCCCTTTTGCCGGCTCACGTCTGCATGGCTGCCAGGTTCAGATCCGCCGCGCCAGGCTGGCAGACTTGGTGGGGCTTGCATGTCTGGCTGACCCAGGCGCTGGCGACCCACTTCTCACCTGCAAAACGCCGTACTTAACGGGGCGATCGATTCGGCACGTCAGGCAAGTGGTGAGTGAGCCTGGTTCTAACCCACTGAACGGAGACTTATAACCTGGCCTTTGCGGGTTACAAGCATGGTTATGACCCACTTACTAAGTACCCTGCCGCCTTTTGGTGAGAAGCTCTCACCCCACGGCCTTTGAGCACTGGGCACGCAACATGGGCGGCGGGAACCTCCAGGCTGCCATCCTCGGGGTCAGCCAGCAAATGGCGCCCTCGCCCAACCAATGCCGGACAAGCTGCCAACTTCCATTCGTTCCGCCAAGCCAGCGCCGTGCCAATGGATGGCGTGAAGCAAGTAGCCCCCGCCTAAACCATTTCAATGCGATAAGAAGGCACGTGTGGCCGTTTTGGAGAAACATCAAGCCGATTTTTGCTCATGATCCAAGTTGCCGCTGCAAGCACTTCGGCACACTTGCTCCGATACTGTCCTCACAGGCAGGGCCATTTGACTTTCCTGTTGAGATCACCCGCCTGGAGCCATCTTTAGCATGGCCGAGAAATTCCAGGATGAAGGCCTCAACAGTCTTAATTCATGAACCCTGCCTTCGCAAATGCAAAGACTTTCGAATCCGAAAGGAGCAAAACAAAAACGGAACTACCAGTTATGAGCCCTGCCTTCCAAGACCTTCGAATCCAAACTGAGCGACAAAAAAAAAACCGCAACTTCCTGACGAGCTGCAGAAGACAAGTTTCACCTCCCTCCGCTGGGGCGTGCAGATAGAGGAGCAAAGATACCGGGCGATGGCCGGGCCACCCACTATCCTCGGCGAGTGCGGTGGGAAGGGCGACTCGAGGCGATCGATTCGGTACGTCAGATAAAGTGGTGAGAGTAAGGCTGGTTATAACAAACGGAACGGAGACTTATAACAATGGTAACCCGCGGAACGGAGACTGATAACCATGGCTTTTGTGGTAATCTCACCATGGTTACCACCCACTTACTCAGCCGAATGGTTTTCTTTTTTTTGTACTCGATTGCCTTCCAGGAGTCCGAGTGTTGCGCGTAGTGACCCCCCACGGTGTATCGGATGACTTGAAGGCGCCCCTCCAAAGGCCCCTCCACCAAATCTCCAGGTGCCCTCTCCGGGTCCCACTGGTCCCATTGGGGATCCTCGCTCTCCAAAGGTCCCTCCACCAATTTCTCCAGGCGCTGCCTGAAGCCTGGCGGTGTGTCGATCCAGCTGAGCGGCGCCTGGAAGGAAAAGCGGGAGAAGGCCTCCGGGTACTGCTCCAGCTGCAGCCGGAGCCCCCTCTCGAGCTGGCTGGGATCCAGTTGGCCCAAGGGCAAACTGCCGTTCTTCAAGTTCAGCATGGATTTGGCATGGCGCCACGTGAAGAGGGGCGCATTCAGGGAGGAGCGGATGGCAACCGCTGCCTCGGCCGCGGAGATGTCACCATCCCCATTGAGGTCAAAGCGATCAAGGTCACGAAACTTGGCTTGCAGAAGTTGCGGGTCCAGAATCCGCGCCTGGCTAAACGAGGGCTGCAATCCCGCCCTCTGCGCTGCATGGATCAGATGACGGCATTCAGCCAGCGAAAGCGCAGAGTCCGACACAAAGTGAGGCGGGAGTGCTGCATGTTCACCAGGCGCCACTGAAAGGAGCACAACCACAAAATGCAGAGGACATCCATGCATGCCGTCCTGCGCTACACGGGCAGCAAGCCAATTCCCGAGCCCTTGGCATGATTCTACACAGCTTGTGTAGAAATGCCGCTCCGGGCACTGCACATTCCGGCGATTTGGCTAAATGGCCCTCACAAGTAACTCTGCCTGTTGCAAACTCCACAAACAGCATGCCAAACATGCCAAACATATTCGGCTGAGAGCAGTGCACAAGGGCGTTGCCCCAACAGCAGAATCGGTTTTTCCCAGGCCTGAGGAGCACCCTATGCCCCCTATGCACTTTGCTGGCTGCGTGCCACTCAGCGCCAGGCCAACCCTCCCACAAGCGCATGACCTGCGCTCCAGCCCACCTGTTCGACAGGGTGCTCCGCAGGTGCTCCTTGTCTTTTTCTAAATCAACTTGAGCCAAAGAATCCTGCAGAATCAAGCGCCTGCATGAGCCCGACAGCTGCGGGCGCAAATTGCGCGACGGCGGCTTTCTCGCTGCGAGTTCAGAGGATCAAGTTCTTCGTGCACGAAGTCTTGTCATGGCGCGGGCAGAGGAATTGGGTCTGCGGACCCCATTTGTGGCCTCCTGGTAGTGCTAGCACGATGGCAATGTTAATCTCCAGCGCCGACTTAGGCCACTCGGCGGGTTGGGCTGGGCCTGCTCCATGTCATCTGCTGAGCTGCACGCTGGCCGTGGAGCCTGACGCAGGTAGGGCAAGCGCTGTGGACGGTTCAGCTGAGGCCGGCACAAAGCACGACTACTCGTACTCAAGTCGATTCGGAGCTTGTTGGAGCTCCTGCTACTCAAACAGATTGCCAAAGCATGCCTATGCACACTGAGAACATTTTATCTGAAGAGGTCTGCCAGGTGTCCTGCAAGTGCCCTATAGCGCACCGAGACTTGCATGCGCACCTCGGGCACGGGCGAAGACGAGATCTCCACAAAGATTGGTTGAGGCCCCTGCCGCCTGGTATCGGTCTCTTGACAAAACGGGCGCCGTGCATGCCGGGAACATCCAGGCAGAGAGTCTACCTAGGAACGAGCAGTTCAGCAGTTCAGCACGCAACCGAAGCCAAGAAGTCGCACAGCTCTGGATGCTTGCCTGGCCAGGCTACCCATGGACGGCGCCTCATTGCCACTTTGCTCAAAGCTAAGCTTGCGAGTGATGTCCTTCTCCAGATGGCCTCGGGCGGTTGACAACAGAGCACCGGAAGAGAGCTGAATCTTGGGGTTCAAATGGCTTGAAATTCGAAATTGACTCCTGGGAAATGGGTTTCGTCTGCCCTGCTCAGGATTTCTGGTTTCGAATTTAAGCCAGTTCACACAGCCACCTGAAGGAAGCGATCAAATTAAACTCCAAGCACATCAGCGGTGCGCGCGCAGGGCAGGGCATTTGAGTTCCCTTGTCTCATTTTGTGAGACACAAAGGGTTGATTGGCTGAGATTCTGGTTGTGGGGTGACATGTTGCGATGTGCCCCATCGGGATGATGTGCGTGTCCCCTCCTCTTTAATCTGCGGCACCGTCAACATGAAAGGAGGAGCCGCCCTTGATAAGTACGGTCTTGCCGGCTAATTCTGTGAACCCACGTGCATAGCAGGCTAAAGTACTACTGTATGTGTAGCTGGCGACTACGTGGGGGCGTAGCAATGGAGACAAAACAAAGGGTGAACGGCCTGCTATACATGTCATAGCCTGCTCCTTTGCTATGATCCGTTTCGGTGTCCAAACCCGCACGTACCGGTGGCAACACAAAACCTACCTACTGCTGGGGGCGCAGTCCATTACGTGCTCCGAGGGCTTAAGTCCCATCAAATGTGTCGAGAGAGAGAGAGAGAGAGAGAGAGAGAGAGAGAGAGAGAGAGAGAGAGAGAGAGAGAGTGTCAAGAGACGGCAAGGTGACGTCCCGTGGGACGCTGTGCACCGAACCCTCCAGCTGTAATACCAACCACGTAGAAAGGTGTATACGGACGATGCCGTTATAGCCGAACCCGTGTAAACGTTGTAAGGGAGAAGGAATAATAGTTACAACAGTGGTCCTGACAAATGCAGCGCAAGCGAAGTGTTTTCCGCTCTCAATGCCGATCACGTATGTATGCAGCTACACATCAGATCTTGAACCTCAATTGTGTCTTGAGCCAAATGGCGATCAATGGAACTTGGTAAGCAACACTAACACAGGACCTCAGAACTGCTTCCCAATTTAGGCACGGGGCCTAGAGGGTTTTAACATCCCCCATTTGGGTCGCATTGTTCATCATGCGGTCCAAACACCACAAAACGTTCCACTGGCCACGGCTTCAGCTACGAAATCGTGTCGTGCATTCTTTTACTTGCTATCGCTACACCGTTCATTCGTTGTGAAACATGCCGGGTTCGATTGTATGAAAAGTGAAACATTCATCCATCAATCGAAGCGCACTCCCATATGCAGGTGTATACAATACACTATTGTCACGTCATTTGACCACCAGTGAACATCCCAGCTGCCGCATTTGCGCATCGCGCAGCCGTCATCCATAGAAAATGGGTTGGCCATAAGAGTCCAACAGAGGCGCCTGCTCGTAAGCAATCTGCATATCTCCGGCAAAGAAATATCGGTGAGCAATCAATGCAAATCATAGCCATTCCAGATACCATGAACAATATATATATAATGAAAAGGAAATCATCCATGAGGTAATAGTTCCATCCATGGATATCCAGAATGTCATAGTCGTCGGAATATGTAAACATATACACATCCATTCATCTTGGACGCATGAAATCATATCATGATGTAAAGTCGTTCCATCGTAATGACGTTGATGAGACGCAAGCAACGGATGGGGACTAACCCACATCGTGCCGCAATCAGCATCTTCATTACACATACCTGTCTCCAATGGACAGTCTGTGAGTGCGTCGACGGAACTCCTCGTCCAAGTTCTTCTGGGCTTCTCGTGCCCGGACACACTTCTTGTTATGATCCTCTGGTATCCAATGCCCTTTACGAAGGCACCAATCCAGCAGAGGTGTGTCGCATTTATTCGGGTCGATGGCCGCAATAATGGCGCTCACATTGACCGAATAACCATATTTGCCAAGGTTCAGGCCATCCCTCACGAATGATATATACTTACAGTTGAAAGCCAGTGAAAAGCATCTGAAAATAATATCACCCACCGGGTGCACGCGGTCCTTGACCAGGAGCTTCATTTCGTCCTTGGTGACGTCGAGGATTCTCGCTGCAATCCACAGCTTGTAGAATGTATATAGTCCCTCGCATTTGCACACCATCATACGAATGTATTCTTCACGTTCCTCAACCGATCGGAAGACCCTTGTCCGAGCATTCTCTGATTGAGAAATCTTCAGTACCGTTGATGGCAAAAGGATTCCTTCCTGATCGTGCTCAGTCAAGTTGGGGTATCTCTTGAAGTCGTTGTGGTAAGGGCAGCCCGGCCTCCCCTCGAGTCCGGCATTCAACGTTCTCTCCTCACCACCCTCGAACATCCCCCACATCTTGGACATCTGCAGTGCGATGAATCCCGCCGTGTATTGAGCCTCGCGCGGCTCATCAAGGCAAGTCGCCATCCGCTGGGAATTTATGATATCCCGTGATGCCAAATCAGTGTCGCGGTAATGCCAACCGCCATCTTCTTCTTCAGACACGTAGCCGGATGTATATCCTTGTGTGTCCATGTCGTCTTCTTCAGGAACTTCTTCCGCCTCGTCATCATCCTCCTGTGCTGCCGCATCATGGTTGGCTTCTTCTTGCGCGCGCCTGGCATCACCCGAGACATTGGGCTTTTGGTTGTCCTCATCGTCGTCGGAGTTGATGTGGATGTAGAACCTCCCGGTGGAGATCAGTTGCGCTTCACATTCCAGGCATAAGCAGAAGCACGTGGGGATTGCGGTCGCGCATGACGGACATATCCGGCACCTCAGTCCTTCCCATGTCTCGTCATTCAGGATGACGACTTTGCTGACTTCGTCCCTGACCTCGTTGACCTGCGCATCGAACTCCTCCATCTTGTTGTCCCGATAGAAGTTCGCATGCACGATCAACCATGTCTTTGATGTAGTGCAGATTATCGGCACCTGCCTCGGTTGGCATCCTCTCGTTGATCTTTGACGTTCTGGAGGAACATCGCAGCCGACTCTTGGGATGAGTTGACGAAACCAGGACAGATCTCGTTCTCCACACATTTCGAGTACGCTCTCTTGATGTCAACGTACTCCAGGCGTTTCCCTCCGTTGCTTTTGCCAATCCAAATGGACTTGACCTCATAGAACGGGATCACGTCAAAGACCATGAATGTCCCATTTGCCGCGACTCCAGCTCCATACCGCGCGAGGGTTGCACTGGGAATGTAGATGATCGCAATCGGATCCCCTTTCCTTACGTTCCGTAGCGTCACCTTCGTTGCTACGTTCATCTCATCCCATGGAGCAAATGCTCCGAAGTGCAGTGCTAGCCTGTTCCCGCCATCGATTCCGCCGGGGACTAACCCACAGCGTACGATGCTTGGCAGATTTTCCACATACGTCACATGGAATGCTCCTCCGAGAGAATCACCCATCCTTGCGGAATACCTATTTGCCAGTGCGGATGAGCTCATGAATCCAAAATCACTGTGACCAGTTGTGACTCGGATGCACCAAGGTCTGTACCATCCATCGCATCGGTTGAACATCCTGTCGATGTCGTCCCGATCTAGGCCAGCTTTGGTCATTTCCTCCCTGGCCTCCTTCGTGTCGTTCGGGTTCATGATGCTTGGAAACCTTGCTGCCAGGACCTGAAATCTCGATTTCTTGTGCCCAGATTCCTGCCACTTGATCACCTCCATGATGCCCATGTATCGTTTCGCTCTCGATGTTGTAGGTGGGAATATGTCGTTGTTCCGGTCGTCAATGACTGCGTCAATGTCGACCCATCCACCTTCGTCGCATCTGAAAACACTTCCTCGGCAATTGCCGATTTTGTGCCGAAGGACTCTGCATAGGTTGTGAGATAGCTGGTTTGCTTGATCTTTCGTAGCAAATACCGAGCGATCATCGCCAATCCTGCATAGTGGAGCACCGTCAAAAGGAGCAACGCAAAAATTGACGCTCTTGCCAAGCTGCATCACATCCACCTGCTCAAGGTTGGCACCTTTGGGAAAGTACCTGGGGTCAACACTAGACGCATACGCCCATGGCTTATACACGTTGCTCACGTCGCCATACTTCGGGATGTAGCATGGAATGGTGTCACATCCCAGCTCTAGCGTCTTCTTGAACGTCCTGTTGTCCCCGCACGGATTGTGGGTGAGGTCCACGCCACCGCATTGTAGCTCTCCTCCCTCAGCCGTGTCAGCCATCTCCACCAGGTTGATGGTATAGCTATACATCTCAATTGTTTCTTTCCCTGCTTGTCCTCCTCTCTTGCGTTCCTTGGACGTTGATGAGGACGGCTCCTCCGTATCCCCCATTTCTTCATCCGAGGAAACAGGATCACTGCTGAGTAGCTCACGGATCTTCCTCATCGCCTTCTCATTCCCAGCAGCCTCCTCATTGTCCTTGCAGTCGCCGTCGTGGGCCAGGTTCGCGCACTTCATACAGATTCCCATTTCTCCCATGCACTTCTCCATTGATTCCAGGAATCCGAGTGCCGCTCTCCGCCCATCGATGACTCGCTGCTTCTTTTCTTCTTTCTCAGCGTTGGGTTGAGAGCTTCGGCTCGGGTCTGGTGCTTGACCAAGACCGTCACCTTCGCCCTCCGTTGCCTTTCTCTTGGACCCTTGGGCAGCAGGCTCAGTCATCAGGGATCGCGGATGTCTGGGCTTGATCTTGTTCATGATGTCCAGCACTTCTTTCGTGGGCGCCCCGAGTTGTGCGGAAGGTTTGTTCCGCTTTCGGTTCTGGCCCGTCGTGTGGCTCACGTTCCCGGCGAGGTGTCGTACGATTGACTGCTCGAACTCCCTCTTGATCTTCCACACATCCTTCCACAGTGGTAGTTCGTGCTGAAAGTACGACATCACCTCAAAGAATCCCAATATCATCTCAACGACGTCCCCCAAGGATTCCTCGTTTGAAGTCTGTCCCAGGAGGTCATACATCGTCCCCTGATCGAGCACGCTCTTGATCCAGGATGAATAGGCCACGTTGCCAAGATCCTTGTCTATCATGAAAATGGACGTTCTCTCCTCAACTCCCTCGGA